AGACGTCAGTCGGCTATGGAGGATTTATCTGCACTGTACAGTACAGTTAATAAAAGCCACAGAGTGTGAGGACAACATGGATCTGTGGTCTGTATTTATGGACTTTCTATGAACCTTTTCTCAGCAGGTAGCCCCACTGACATTTCAATCATGTATATGTGTGCTGAGTGCATGAGTGTGACTATGTAGCAGGCTGATATTGACACAAATATTAAAACTTATTTTAACCATTGTAAGTATTTTTATTAGAAATGTTGTAGTATTTTGATATTATTACATATTTAGATGTATTTGCTTCATGTTTGACTAAAATATTTCAGATTCCTCTGTGTACCATTAGAGGCAGCTTATGTAATAAACTCTGTTCAAACAGACACGTTGAACTGGAAGCACAATATTTCACAGCATGTACAGAATATATTTAAATACATTGAAATCAAACATAAGCCCAGCTCTATCTCACTTTGTTAGCTGGAACATTTTCAATGTATTGAAATAAACATCCAGCTTCCACAACAACTCTGTAGTTTGAACATCATTTCAGTTCCCTCTCACTGCTGCAGAGGGCGACAGTGTGCACAAAGTTTGAGATTTCAGCTTTAAACAAACTCTTTTTGTGTTTATTATCCAGAATAAAGTTTGTATTTATCAGTAATGAACACAAATAAAATGTAAATCAGTTTGTTTGTTAATGTAATAAACCGTTGCACTGGTAATACACACCCTAAAACAACAAGCAGCTGCTTGATGAAATAAAGCTGACTCACCAGTTTGCCTTCATGGGACAAGATATTAAAAGAACACAAAAATATAGAATATTCAAAAATAGGATATCAGTGAATACCCTCATTTCATGATGATATTTAGCAATAAAACATTTGCACATGAGTCTGTAAGTACTCTATGAAAAGCCCTCAGATAGTTTAAAAACTAAATGTGAACACACATTTAAATACAGTTGTAGGAAGTGTGACTCAGCTGGGGGTAATTATTCAAGTCAGCCATGTTTGATCACAGTGTTGCTTGTGTAGTTCCTGAAGTGAATTATGGCGTTGTACCGGTGCTGTTTTAAAGTCTTTTTTAACTTTGTGCTGTATTTTATACAACAACAAACCTTTTGAGAATCATCAGTCTAATGGTTGGACAATCATTCAGCCAGGGTTGCTATAATATCAGTTTATTGTCTCATTAACATTATATTCTCAATCTCTCTGTTTGCTGGTATGAAATGTAAATGTTAAACCACTCAAATGACACCATCAGTTACTCTGCACCTGCCTCTCCTTTGGACCAGTGTCCCACTGAGTGTTCAGTTCACTGATCAGTTCCTGTTTCAGTGCATGTCAGCCAAGTTGATTGGTCAGTCTGAACATTTCCTTAAACGACATTTCAGATGTTAATGACATCTTGTAATGTCCAGTAGCTCACAACGTAGAGCTGAAGCCCCATGCACCAATGCTGAGCCCCTGCTGCAGAGACCGTGGGCTCGACCCCCAACTGTGGCCCTTTGCAGCGTGTCAACCCCCTTCTCTCTGCCTCCACTTCCTGACTGTCTTCAGCTCTCTCTATCCATCAAAGATATAAAAAGACAGAATATATATATTTAATAAAAAAAGAAGTTCATGTGTTCTTTGTATAACAATAGTAAGAATCATTTCTTAATTTAAACTTGGTGATTTACAGGCTCTTTTCATGCATGTTAATGAAGTTAAAGAGGAAGAAAGCCAGGGCAACTTTTCACACCTTGATGTCTTACTGTACAAACCACAGAGAGACAAAGTGTCTTCAGACGACCACCCACCTAGAGCCGAAGGATCTGTCCTAGGTTTCTGCCTTTTAACAGGCAGTTTTTCCTTGCCCTTGTTGCTTAGAGCTTTGAGATGGTATGTCTGGGGGTTAACTGATTTTAAGTGATTGTAAAATTGAATTGATCTTTTCTGTATTTTTAGTAGGAGGGGGTATTGGCCGAGCTCTGCTCTGCACAGATTATTTGGTGCTTTTCTCTGCACCTGCAGGATGCTCTTACAGAACTCAGTGTGGAAAGATTCTATGATTGTTTTGTTCCATTTGACAATTCATTATTTAGTTTTGGTCCCCAAATTTCGCTGAAATTATTGGTTATTGGTTGATTATTGGTTCTAGTACAAATTGGAAAATTTTAAGCCAGATTTCGATTGGAATATAGATTTTAATGTTTCTCCTTATTGCATAGAAAGCTCTCCTTGCTTTGTCCCTGAGATCTTTCACAGCCATGTTGAGGTTCCCTGTGTATGAAATGTTGAGGCCAAGGCAAGTGTAAGTTTTTGTATGTTGTAATTTAGTGGTGTCTAAATAGAAATTGTGTGTAACCTGATTTCTGTATTGTTTCTGAAAGATCATTATCTTAGTCTTTGCTGTGTTTACTGTCAGGGCCCAGGTCTGACAAAATCTCTGGTGCTGCTGCAAACCTTCTTTAGTAGGTGAAAGCAACACTTATTTTCCATCCATTACAAAATAGCCTTAAACATGACTTCTGTATACAATCTGGAATCCACACACACACACACACACACACACACACACACATTCTATTTAGATCAAACACATCAAAGAAATAGAGTGGAATGCGATGATGTCAAACGCTTAGAATTTAGGACCTTAACGCACTTTGGCAATATGTATAGTGTTACGTCAGGCCAATAAAGCCATTTGAATTGAATTGAATTGACACAAACCTACAATAATCTGTCTGATTTGATTCACTGTTCAACATGGATTGTAAGGTTGCAACAACAGAAAAATTCACGCAGTGGCAGGTAGAGAAACTCCGTGAAAAACACAAATATGACCAAGAGTGCTGGTCGAAGGACTCTATGCAGCTCAGAGAGACCATAGGTGGTCTGGAAAAGAAAGTCCAGGCTCATCAGGCAGAGCTGAAGACAAGAGAGGGGAGAGAGAATGAGCTCAAGGAAAAACTGAAGAGCAGCCAGAAAGAAGTCAAGAACCTCTTCACTGAGAAGGAGAAGTTGATAAAAGCAAAAAAGAACAGTTATCAAAACAATTTAGAGATAAAAGAAAGGTTAGAAAAGAAGATGACTGATGATCAGGAACGCTACGAGAAAACACTAGCACAATGGAAACAGGAAGTTGAAGAAGAAATGGTCAGCATTAAGGCTGCCGATGAAGAAAGGATGGCAGAGTTTGTCCAAAACAGAGACCGTATGCTTGAAGAGAAGGCACAACAACATCAGTGCCAGGTCAAACAATTGAAGCAAGAGCACCTTGAGAAGGAGGAAGAATACAAAAAGGTTGTGGACCAGTTAGAAAAGGACCTAAAGGCAAAAGAAGCAGAAATAAGAAGAAGAACAGAACAAGAAGAGAAACGAAAGGCTGATGAAAATTATCAGAGAGCCCTCTTTGAGCAAGATTATGAGTTGAAGATACGGAAATTAAAAGAAAAGATCAAAGACCTGGAAGGGAGGGAAAACCTACGTGAGACAGTGAATAACTTAAGGAAGACCCTTGAAGAAAAGAACACAGAAATTGCACGTAGAAAAAAGGAGATAGCAGCTGTAAAGAAGGAAAAGAAAGATATTATAGACTGTTTGAGTAAGGAACAGAAAAACAGTGCTATTTTAAAACAATGTCTCAGCCAAGAGACAGAAGAAAAGCAGACTCTGAAGGACGAGAAAAGGGTGGTCGACGACATGTTAAAAAAAACGGCTGAAGAGCTTCATGTGGCCAACAGACAAATTAGCGACCTGAAAGACACAGTACAGACCCTTAAATTACGAGTAAAAGGTACTGATCCTCAGTTAAGCACACTAAAGGATAACGTCGCCATATTACAAACAACTAAGAAAAGATTTGAGGAGGATATACAGGGATGCGTGTCTCTTGTTGATAAGCCCAAGAAATTAAAAAAAAGACTCCTCTTGCTCAAAAAACGATACATTCATAATGACAAGGCAGTGGATGCCAGTGAAAACTCTGTTCCTCTGTATAAACATATGGTTTCCTGTGAGAAAATAAGAAATTCGCATCATGAAAAAATCCAGCAGTTTCAACAAGGCACGATAAAAAAACTTACTCAGCGCATAGAGTCGAACACCGTCACTGAAACGAAAAAACTTAACTACTACATCCGGTTAGTGAACAAGCAGGATGGACAGATTGCAAAGTTAAAAGAAGAACTAAAAGAAACAAATCAGGAGCTTATAAAGTCCAATATGGAGCTTAAAAAGGCCAAACCCATACATCACAAGGTCAGCTGCTGGATTAAAAAAAGGGCGTTTGGAAAGAACAAGGCTTCCCCAGAGGTCGCAGCAGAGGAACCACCATCCCTACACCCAGAGGACTTTGAGGCACCAGACTGCCCGGAGGAAAACATCCAGTCATCTGTGCATCAATCTACAGATGAAGAGACATCATCATCCTCACAGCCAGATTATTTGATGGATGACAAGACTATCATACACGTAAAGCCGTATGTAGATGATGGTCTCCCATCAGTTGACATCTAAAATTCTCCCTGTGTCTGCGTGGGTTTCCTCCGAGTGCTTCGGTTTCCTCCCACACTCCAAAGACATCATATTTGGAAAAACTCTTACATCTAAATGGTTCACCATGAAAAAATACTCCTCAGGAGAGCAGCACAATGTGTTGACTCAGTGCGGTCAATGTCTAAGCAACACAGTGCAGCATAGGGCGACACGGTGCCTCAGTGTTTAACACTGTGGCCACACATACGGTCCTGGGTTCAGCCTAGTTCTTTCTGTGTGGAGTCTTCATGTCCTCACCGTGTCTGCGTGGGTTTCCTCCGAGTGCTTCGGTTTCCTCCCACACTCCAAACACATCGTATTTGGAAAAAACCTGAATAAAAAATAAAAATATAACTTTAGTAACACAAATAACTTTTAAGGACATTTTTAAGGGAATATTTCATTTCTGTATGAAGCAATGAGAGTGAACTTATTCCTACTTTATATATTATATATTATATTATATTAATTTGTGGTAAAAAAAAAATTTGTAGCACCTTACACCTTTGGTCGAGGCAGACGACCACCCACCTAGAGCCAAAGGATCTGTCCTAGGTTTCTGCCTTTTAACAGGCAGTTTTTCCTTGTCCCCGTCGCCAAGTGCTTGCTCATGGTGGTACTGTTGGGTCTCTGTAAATAATGTTATAAGGAGTTCGGTCTAGACCTGCTCTATTTGAAAAGTGTCCTGAGATAACTTCTGTTATGAATTGGCGCTATACAAATAAAATTGAATTGAATTACACACAGAACATACACCTGCAAAGAACATAAAAAATAATAAAAGTGCGACAGCAATAATAGTGACCAGTATTTAATATTTACTGTATATGTTTGTGTTTTCCCTTAAATATACCTTAAATAATAACACTGTTACGGCTGCGGTCGGCACCCACCCCACGCATATAACTTAGTCTAGTGTTTCTATGTCAATCTCAGTTTTTCTTTTCAACTCGTCATTCACAATATTTTCTATTTTTTAGTTCTTTTGATTTGTTACTTTTTTGTTGTTGTTTTTCTAGTTTTCTCAAATTCTCCTCTAATTTATTGGAAACTATTGTAAAGTTGTATTTAAGACATATTAAGTCCTAAAATTGAGATTGTTGCACTTCAGACTCTGTGAACTTGTCTACGTGGATATTTTTGAAACCTGATATTTTCCCCTCCATTTAAAGACAATGCCAACCAAACGGTGACGATAACATAAAACAGTTCGAAGCAGCTTCAGCCGTGATACATTTATTCAGAAACATTTAATAAATTCGGTTGATCAATGAACTCAACTTCTGAACTTTGAATGATCAGATGGAATAATGAATTAATTATTCAGACGTCTCCTCTTCAGCCCATCAACACTGAAACAAAGAAACACATTATTATTAGTATATTATTATTAGTATTATTATTATTATTATTAACATTATTAACTACATTGTGCTCATGAATCCACTGTCAGGGTGAAGTGAAGGTTTATCTACAATCTACAACTAGTTAGATGATACTAAATCCCTCCACACTGGACCTTTAATGTGAGTATGAGTGTTTGGAAGACTACAGACTGAAACAGTCACAACAGGTGAGATACGGTGCAGTAGTCATATTATATTGAGATATTTTGTTTTATTTATATATATAAATGTTGTGTTTTTTAACTCCCAACCACTAGGTGGTGGTGTTGTAAACAGGCTCTGATGTTGGATGTTACAGCGACTGTGATAAATACAAATACACACGTTCATTATCCCAATTTATCACAATATATTGAATTGTAACCCTGTATTGTGATGTATTCACGGCCGATTCTAAAGCTAGCTATAACAACAAAAAACAGAGTGATGTCAGAGTGATGTCACTACCTGTAGCTGTGCCGACAGGTGTTCAGGCAGCTGGACCCCTGCAGCTTCCAGCAAGATGATGGTTTCTGTCAGAGGGAAACTGGAGGAACAGGAAGACTCTTCATCGCCGCCAGCACACTGAGTCACCTGCTGCAGACTGCGCGCACACACACACACACACACACACACACACACACACACACAAGAGAGATCTCAGGTGAGTTTACCTGTGTCTGACTGAGTCTAGCAGGTCTCAGGTGAGTTTACCTGTTGCTGACTGAGTCCAGCAGGTAATTTGTGTACATGTGTGTCCAATCGTAGATGATTGACAGCAGGGAGTCTCTGAAGGGTCGGAGGTCAACCTGCAGCCAGCTGTGCAGAACAATGATATCATCCAGGTCAGCAACCTCCCTGCTCAGACTGTGGAGTGACTCGATCTGAAACAGGTGAGGTCACAGTGATGACTCAGCAACATCAGCCAGCACAGGTGTGACAAACCTGACCAACACTTGTCGAGAGCAGGGTCTCTACCCACGATGCACCACAGCAATATTTACTATAAAACAATACTGCAGTAAAACACCTAGACAGGTGTGTCTCACCTCCCTCCAGAAGTCCTTCAGGGTGGGCGGGGCCTCTGCAGCATCCAGCTCCTCAGGTCCCAGCCGTCTGCTGTAGGTCAGGAACTCCTGCAGCACCACCAGCCTGTCGCTCTGCCACAGGTACGAGTACCTGTCCAGCCCCACCCTCAGACGCTCTGCCTCCTCTCTCACCTGCAGCAGGCGATGCATCACTTCCTGTTCCAACGCTGAGAGTTCTGGACACTGCTGCAGAGACACCTGAGAGACAGACAGACAGACAGACAGACAGGTATATCAGAAATGTTTCTCTACCTGCAGTCTGGAAAGAACTGAATGTGTGATGTCACAGTCACCTGGTAGTTGCCTTGGTGACTCACAGAGATCCTGGGTGGCAGACTGGCTGCTGTGTAGATGTCACTGATGATGTTCTTCAGGAGGTCAGAGAGGCCGTCGCCCACTGACGGCTCAAACACACTTCCTGTTTCCTCTAACTGCAGACTCAACTCCAAACCCCCCCCCTCTTTTTAAAAAAAAAAAAAAAAAAAGAAAAAAAGGGGAAAAAAAAGAGGGAGTAAAGGGGAGAAAAGGGACGCAGTAGAGTGCAGTAAAGGGACACAGTAGAGCGCAGTAAAGAGAGTAGAGCGCAGTAAAGGGACGAGTAGAGGCAGTAAAGGGACGCAGTAGAGTACAGTAAAGAGACACAGTAACGAGTAAAGAGACGCAGTAGGCCAGTAAAAGACAAGTAGAGTGCAGTAAAAGAACAGTAGAGTGCAGTAAAGGGACGAGTAGAGTGCAGTAAAGAGACGCAGTAGAGCGCAGTAAAGAGACGCAGTAGAGCGCAGTAAAGAGACGCAGTAGAGTGCAGTAAAGAGACACAGTAGAGCGCAGTAAAGAGACGCAGTAGAGCGCAGTAAAGGGACGCAGTAGAGTGCAGTAAAGAGACGCAGTAGAGTACAGTAAAGAGACACAGTAAGAGTAAAGAGAGCAAAAGGGACGAGTGCAGTAAAGAGACGCAGTAGAGCGCAGTAAAGGGACGCAGTAGAGTGCAGTGAAGAGACGCAGTGGAGTACAGTAAAGAGACGCAGTAGAGCGCAGTAAAGGGACGCAGTAGAGCGCAGTAAAGAGACGCAGTAGAGCGCAGTAAAGGGACGCAGTAGAGCGCAGTAAAGAGACGCAGTAGAGCGCAGTAAAGGGACGCAGTAGAGTGCAGTAAAGGGACACAGTAATCGAGTAAAGGGACGCAGTAGAGTTCAGTAAAGAGTCACAGTAGAGCGCAGTAAAGAGACGCAGTAGAGCGCAGTAAAGAGACGCAGTAGAGCGCAGTAAAGAGACGCAGTAGAGCGCAGTAAAGAGACGCAGTAGAGTGCAGTAAAGAGATGCAGTAGAGCGCAGTAAAGAGACGCAGTGGAGCACAGTAAAGAAAGGATTTAAGGTTTCGAGGTGTGTGTACCTGTGGGCTCATGTAGTCAGACAGTGAGTGCAGTGATCTGAGCAGTAGCTGGAAGAGTGCGTCCTGGACCTTGTCATCAATGTGGTCCAGATACCTGATCCAGGACTCGAAGGAGTCCTCCGCTCCGTACAGACTCCTGTTCACCTGAGAACCAGAATCACATCAGGACCAGACTCTCCTCCTTCTGCTCCACCCCCTCAGGTGTTATCTGTGGTTACCTGTGTTAACTTGAGCAGCTCTTGTCCCTCCTCTCTGATTTGTCTGTAGCTCTCCCCTGTAGCTCCGCCCTCCAGCAGTAAGTCACCTGAGCGCTGCAGCAGGTGAAGCTCCGCCCAGCCCTGCAGGTGCAGAAACACACAGATCCAGACTCCAGTCCTGAAACCAAACTCTTCACAGATATTTGTTGATTGGCCACAAGTTCATATGATCATTAACATCCTCCTCCTGAGAGAGAAAGAGTTGAAGGTCAGAGGTCAGACTAACCTGTATGATGTTTGTCATGGCGTCCATGTTGTTTCTGGCTTTGCTCACTGTGGAGTGGAAGATTAACACACTCTCTCTCCGCTGCTCCACCAGGTGCTGCACACCTGAACACACACACACACACACACACACACCAACAGTAACCTGTCATTAATATAATCACACAGTATCAGATATTCACAGTCTCGCTCATGGAGTTCGCTCAGCTTCTCTGTTCAAAGCCTCTTTTGGACGCCTCGCTCACAATCTTGAGGTTATGAATATAATCCTGGTTCTCTGACTAGCATAAGTGAGTGTCTCACTATGGGAATGCCTCCTACGTGACCTCGTCAGAAGCTCAAATAACCTTTTTTTACCTTCATTGTTGTTGAAGAAGAGACACCCCGCTGATCAATGAACACATAATCAACAAGGTTATTAGAAAGATCAGCTGTGATTAGAAAAGAGGAGAGCCTTAATTACCATCACATGTGTAAAAATTACAGGCTATAAGCGTTTCAAGATACAAAAGTTTGAAATTAGCGGTTATCTTACCATATCAGCCACAAGAAGCAGGTAACTATCGTCTAAAAATAATCCATACGGTTGGCCTTCCAAATCGTAAAAGGGCGACTAAAGCTCACATGGAAGTGGCACTACAATCAGCGACCTCTGTGGCTGCAAATGAAGCCAACACTTAAGTACCAAAACATGCAGTTCCTGTAACGTCCACTTGAGGCTGGCTCCAGCAGTGAGTCATTCTCCATAAGGCAATCAATAAGGAGTCAGGATTGCCGGGATGGCGACGGCCAGAGCCGACCACACTGAGCTTCACAACGCCTCATCACAAACCAATGGGGGAACGTCACCAACACGGACCGTTTATTATACAGTGTGTGGTCGCTCGCAGAACAACCAGACCAGTTCCAGCAGAAAACAATGAAACACATTCAGCTGAGACACGTTGTGATGTGTCATGTTATGTATCACCTTCACAGCTCCAGGTGTTCCTCTGCAGTTCTGACAGAGCCCGGTACAGCTCCTGCTGCTGGTCCTGGATCAGAGGAAGCTCCACCTGCAGGGCGTCACTGATCACCTGAAGGAGGAACACAGTCTGTCACACGACTTTCACCTTCACCTGGACCTGTCAGCTTCAGGACCACAGTGCCGTCTGTGTGTGAGGGTACCTGGTTGTAGCAGGACACCATGTGACCCAGGCTCAGGCGGCTCTGAGTGACGTCTTCTCTGACTGTGAAGAGCCGAGCAGCGTGGGGGAGGAGCTCCACATCTCTCTCTCTGCTCACATACCTGAGCTCCCTCAGCACCGCTTCCAGCTGCACACACACACACACACACACACACACACACACACACACACACACACACACACACACACACACACACACATTGTTTAGAAATGTGTTCCAGGCGTGTATGAGGAGATAATCTAGATACAACCCAGAGCAACAAGTGTCCATTCTCCCTTTACAAGATTTTCAAGTTATTTAATCAATGTAGGCTCTAAACAATACAGTATAAGTAAGACAAATAAGACAGTTTAATGATGTTCAGAAAACATTCAAAATATGACATTTGGAGAAGAACACAACAAAATATTTTGTGGACAATGTTAAAGTCACAACATTTAAAAACATCAAAGTTCATAGGTTGAAACTGAAAACTGGCGAATAATTTCACGGTTGTTTAATCGGAAATTTAAATTTAGAGTAATCGACTAGTCTAAAAGTAAGAAAACGCTCAGAAAACAGTGAAGTTTTAAAGGTTGTAAACACTCTGTTACTACCCGCTATATCCCGTTACACACATTATATGCGGAGCAGTTTGTTCCATTATCAGATTTACATCATTCAATATTCAGTCAATGCGTTGGGATGCTACTGAAATGGAAAACATATGGACAATAACTTTGAGCTGACAAAGTCAACAATGATTGTGAAGAAAATGAAGACGCTGTTCATCTTATGAGATAAAGAGAGAAATCACTCTCAGGGCTGATTCATGGTTGTGAGATAACCTGATACATCATGCCCTTAGAGGTTTTATTTGTGATGTGAGCCACAAAGTGTAGATGACATTATCGGCGATGATGTGAAGTCCCAGAGGATAATCTTACAGCTTTCAGGGAGCAGGTAAGCCGATGCTACGTTGGCTAACTGTCAGTAAACATATACAGCGAGGCTGACAGTTTCTCAGTGCTTCCTGTGAGTAACCAAATGTTAGGACTACAACTTCTAAACTGGGACAAAGCAGACTCTTAAAACCACTGGTGGCATTAGTGCAGGGACGGGGGGTGCTGTCTGCGGGGGCTATATGACCGGCTAGTGGCGGGTGGCACAGAAAGACCACATTAACCAGCGTTGTTCATTAATGAAATAAAATAATGAATTTAACACACTAGTAGTATTTCTGCTGTTGACTAGCGAGATTAAATGACAGAATTTCAAAAGTGAGGATGTGCGTGATTATTCAAACTTCTCAAATAAAATCTTTTATCTAATTTTTAAATTATGACTTTGTTAACATGTAGAATTATTTATTATTATTTTTTTAATATTAAGCCTTTTTTCTGTCTGATTTTAAAAGCTGGTCTGCGTTTATTATCTGAATTATATAAAAGACTCTGCAGGTCAACCCAAGTTTTATCTTTCTCTGGGGGACACCACGTTACTGACCGTAACAGTGACATCAGTCAGTAACAGCCAATTATATGAGCTCCTGCAGACAGGTAACTCTCCAGCTCCTCTTAATCAAACCATTTGTGGATTTATTCTGACCTTGTGGCTGCAGTTCACTCCCAGCATGCCTTGCTGTTTTTGTTGTATCAGAGGTTGTTGAAGGATGAACGCACAGTCTGAGTCCAGCTGGCAGCTGCAGTCAGTCCTCAGTTGGTCTCTGAAGTCCTGCAGGAGGTCCAAAATCTGCTGGGCTCTCTGCTGGACCAACTGGGACTTAGCTGAGCCCATACACCTGAACACAACACAGACTGTCATTAAAGACTGAGTCCAGGTACCTGAACCCAACACAGCAACTGAGTACAGGTGCAGACTGGATCGTGATTATCTATCTCTCCAGCATACTTGAGCGTACGATTAATTGTCTAAACCAGCCAGGAGACCTCGCTGTGTGTGTGTTCTGGTTCTTACAGGTATTCGACCTTCCTGTAGTTCTCCAGAGTGTTTTCAGTTCTCCGTTTGAGCTGTTGAGTCCAGCAGAGTCCGGCTGCAGCGGTCGGAGTGAACCTGCTGAATGTCTCTGGTTTATCTCTCTGACAGTAGAACAGCACCTCAATCTGGTCCAATTCCATCAGGACAAGCTCCACCAGGCGGATCAGTTGAGGATGCAGCTGATCCTGGATCAGAGGACGGTCCAGCACGAACTCGAACATCTCCACCAGCTGAAACACAGACCAGATCAGACCAGAGCTCCTCTACGGTCAGTGTGCTGTGTGGCCAACGGAAATGTGAAAACCAAAATCGGGAAACGGTGTTCCCTGCAGCTGCTGGACTGTGGTAGATCTGTAGACCGGTACCTTTGAAGCAGACAAGAAGTCGCAACAGTTCTCAAAGGCTCTGCTGAGGACGGACCCCAGCTGTCTGTCCAGGTCCAACATCTGATCCTGAAACTGATCCAGGTGCAACCTGGAGCTCTGGGAGAAAGAGGAGGAGGAGTCACATACAGCTCAGGTTCAAACAGGAAGTTCCTCACACACATTAGCTGACTGTCACCTGGTCGTCGGGGTCGGTGGGGTCACATTTACACTCAGACAGAACCGTCACATGACTCAGGAAGTCCTCATACACGCCCTGAACCGCATCAGTCCACATCCTGCCGTTGACACCAGACAGGACGGTCTGATCCACCTGATTATACTGCAGAACGACACAAAACGCCTCCTGCAGGAGGACAGAGGAATAACGACAAACACAAACTAGACTCAAAGTACTGCAGATGCTCAGTGGTAGAAAGTACATTTACTCAATTACTGAAGTACAATTCTCAGGTACTATTATTTGATTTTATGATACCCAACTCATTATTCCCTCATTATCCCAGTTCACCACCACCAGTGTTTCAGTTTAACCAGTGACCCTGTAAACTGGAGACTAGGGGTACAAATATTTACTGATACAAGTCAGAAATCAGTTTTGTCCTTATAGATGCGACTACATCGGTACACAGACCCCTGGATGGATCTAAATGTACCATTAACTGGTCGATCGTCCGATTCTACATTTATGAATCTGCTGACTGAAGTTTTGCAACTAACAACGTCTCCACTCTCCTGAGAGATCAAATTGTGAAATTCACAATATGTGACGGAGTAATTCTGTGGTCCTCTCACTGAAATATTGTATTCAAGGAGAGTTTGATCTGCTGATAAAGGAACTGTCTCTATCTCAGTTCCTCCCTTGTTGCTCTCCACTGGAGGTTCCTCTGCAGGCTGTCGACCGTCTCTGCACCGCAGCTACAAGTGGCTGAGCTATCCTGTCTGTCTGTCTGTCTGTCTGTCTGTCTGTCTGTCTGTCTGCTGTAGTCGTCTGACCTCTTAAACTGCTCCGGTAACAGCTGACGGGGTCCAAATTATTGAACTAGTAATAAGTGCAGCACCGTGTGTGTGTGTGTGTGTGTGTGTGTGTGTGTGTGTACCCGGATGCTATGCAGCTGTGTGAGGAAGTTGTCCAGGTGTTTGAAGACCAGGTGTAGAGGAACGTCCCAGGTCTGTGTGACTCCATCCTGCTGTCAGAGTGTCAACAGTTCACTTTCTCACACACAGAGTATTCCTGCCAACAGCTTGTCATTGAAATGTCATTAAAACTATGCAATTACTAATTAAGCATCGATGTTACAGTTGCTCAAGTCCTGACACAGCTAAGTAGCCAATCACACATTGACGATCAGGCTGATCTACTCTGGCACTAGCAGTGGCATTGGTAGCCAGCAAGGCAAGGACTGAGCGTAACCGTAGCGATGGTGGACAGCGGAGGTCAATCAAAGAACTGCGATACAATCATTGATGGACCTACGCTGTGTGCTGCTGTCACTGGTTCACTGGAACCAGACTGAGATCCTCTGTTTCAGGAGGTCTCGCTCCACGCCAAAGTTAATTGACAGCTCTCACACCAGAACAAGATTTAAGCAGCCTCAGTACTACAGTACCCATAAGGCTCAGCAGCAAAGCTCACCAAGTAAAATCAATAATTAGACTCAAACATCTCATGTGGTCTGTAGCTCTACCTGGCTCTGGTTCTCCAGCTGAGTCTTGCACTGTAAGTATGCCTCTCGGAAGCTGAGCAGAGTTCGGATCACCAGGCTGACATCACGATGGACCAGAGCAGGGTTCGACACCAGACCACGCATCACTTCCTCCCCACACAGGAACTTCCTGCTCTGCAGCGGCAGAAGAAGAAGATAAAGGTTTGATGACACACACACACAAACACACACACACACACACGCACACAAACACACACACACCATCTGTATGAAGAGGTTGCAGATCTCCTGCAGCAGGACCACCATCCTGGAAGGTCTACAGTAGGACTCGGACCTGATCCACACCAGACGCACCTCCTCCATCACAGCCGCCATGTTGGCCTCCAGCTGCCAATCACAGACAGCCACAGAGTGATAATTCCACAGACTTGCAGCAGTGAGTATCATAGACATATATACACAGACGCCACATTGGCCGCTGGATCGTAAGTCAACAGACTGACCTGTAAACAAAGACAGTAAACGTTCTAGTGCTTTTTATGAAGAAAAATGCAGCTCCCCGGTTTACTGTATTTGTTTACAGGCCAGTCTTGCCGGGTCAATATGGCATCTATGTGTCTGTGTCCATGGTGAGTGTAAAGCTGCTCACACACATTAAACATCTGTACCTGCTTGTACTCCATCTGCTCCACCTCCTCCAGCTGCTTCTGCAGAGAGTTCAGGCTCAGAGTCACATCTTCAGCCTCCTTCAGAGCTGGGAGGAGGATGTCAGAGAGCTCAGAGGGGTTTCAGGGGTTTGTATGAGGTATTATTATTATTATTATTATTATTTCTACCTTCCTGGACGTCTCTGTAAATGTCTGTCAGAGTGGCCCAGTAGACGCTCTCTGCCGTCTGAACGATGGACCCCAGCTGTTTGGCTCTGCTGCTCATCAACTGAACCACAACAACAAACAACGGTTAACAGCTGCAACATTTATCTGACAAACAAATATAAATGCTGAGGTTATTACTGTCCATATAGACACGCACAGGACTGAAGAGAAAGAAAGTGCTGAAAGGAGCTGTAGTAACTGTTTGAACAGTGAAAGAAGATCTGACAACTGAAGTGTGACCTGCATTGAAAGGCCAGTAAACGTCATCTAAAGTTCCAGTGTGTGGGATTTAGATTTAGATTGTATTTGCAGATGTTTGTCCGTTCTGGGCTACTGTAGAAACAAGGCGGTTGTGTTTTTGTTACCTTAGAATGAGCTATTTTTATCTACACATACCACAGGCATGTTTCTACAGTAGCCCAGAATGTAGTTTGTAGATGTAGTTTCTCCTTCGTGGTGAAGCGACGTCACTAGATGGCACTAAATCCCAAACTCTGGACCTTTACGATGCTTAGTGACATCATCACCTGTTGCTGGATGAAGTTCAGGTTCTTCAGTCTGTTCTTCCAGAAGTTAAACTCCTCTGTGGGAAGCGGTTTGCGTCCGTCCAGAATCGGCTGACTTGAGTCTCGCTGCAGGAACTCTGACACGAGCTCCGCCCACTCTATGATCGACGAATCACAGGCATGGAGGAGCTTGTGCACGTCTGACAGCTTCCTGTTAGAGGAGAGAAGAAGAAGCTCTCTTTTACCTGCGCTGTCAGCAGCCGTGCAGGAGAGACGCTGTGTGGTGCACTGTGGGATTTTATAACTGAACTTTATGAGCAGGACACGCTTTTACGTCCTCTGACTGTGGAGATCTGATGTTTTCACCTCACAGATGATGAAGAAAGACATTAATGCCGGAGACAGTTGTTCTCTCTTGCTCTTAAGTAACATCATACTCATAAATAATACCCTCATGTATGACATCAAACACAGACAAAGGCTCAGCTGGACGACATCAACATACCGCCCTTCGTCGTGGACAGCGTCGCCACGGAGAGCGTCAGGAAGAGACAGATGTGTCAGTCCCTCTATCTGAGCCTTCATCACCAGCGCTGCATTTTTCAGTCTTTTCATGGTCCTCAGAGCCTCCTCAGCCACGCCCGCCTCGTAGCTGCTGTTCATCTCCAGGTTGCCAAGCAACGGGCAGATCACCTGAGGGGAGAGAGGACAAGCCTTCAACCTTTAGCTGTTAGTTACAGCCTGAACGTCCTGCAGGTGGCGCTCCGTCAGACATTGACCATAACTTGTGTAAAAGTTTAAATTAACCATATTTTCAATTAAGCCTTAGTTTAAATGAGCCATAATTTATAGTAATTATTATCTTAAATTAGCTATAATTGTCAGTTAGCCTGATCTTATATTATCTAACATTATATTTTACTTGTAGCATTATTATATTATCTATATTTTACAGGTATTATTATTATTATTATGATGTTATCTATAATGTGCAGGTATTATTATTATTATTATTATTATTATTATATTATCTATATTTTACAGGTATTATTATTATATTATGTATAATGTGCAGGTAATTTATTATTATTATTATAATATTATCTATATTTTACAGGTATTATTATTATTATATCATCTATATTTTACAGGTATTATTATTATATTATGTATAATGTGCAGGTATTATTATTATTATATTATCTATATTTTACAGGTATTATTATTATTATAGTATCTATATTTTACAGGTATTATTATTATATTATGTATAATGTGCAGGTATTATTATTATTATTATTATTATTATTATTATTATATTATCTATATTTTACAGGTATTATTATTATATTATGTATAATGTGCAGGTATTATTATTATTATTATTATTATTATTATATTATCTATATTTTACAGGTATTATTATTATTATAGTATCTATATTTTACAGGTATTATTATTATATTATGTATAATGTGCAGGTATTATTATTATTATAATATTATCTATATTTTACAGGTATTATTATTATTATATTATCTATATTTTACAGGTATTATTATTATAATATTATCTATATTTTACAGGTATTATTATTATATTATGTATAATGTGCAGGTAGCATTGTTATTATATAAGTTATATATTATATTATATATTAGCCACTGTACCTCCTCAATGACAGTGACGCTGTAGCTGAAGGTGTCTCCTCCTGGAACTTCTTGAATCATTAAAATACTTGTGGCATTTTCTTTGGTGATGACTTCGTGGTTCTTCTTGGACACACAGATGACTTTGGTGTGGACATTTTCGGGGAAGTGGAGGCTGACGGAGAGGACGGACTGTGTCTGCTGCTGCTGCTTCCAGATGAACAGGTTGCAGTTATCCTGAGCGCTGAGGAACCTGTTGAAGATCAACTGGTTGTCTCTCTCTGAAACAAACTCTCGCCATGTTTCCGGATCCAACCTCAAACTGATGATGGTGAAAGTCCGGACGGGGTCCAACCGCTCTTCTTTATTCTCCATCTTTAGAATGACTAAAAGCTTTTATTTCTCTCTGTCTGTCTGTCTCTGTTTTCTTCTCGGAGCAAACAACAAGATTTAAACAACAACTATTTCAGTCGAGTCGTCGAAAAAAACAAAAACAATCTTCATAAAATATCAACGGTCACTGCTGCCTTCAGGGTCTTCTCTTCCAGTCGTTAATACGAGTTTTCAGTTTTCAGTTATTTTTAATTCAGATTTTGGTGCGTGGTTTTTAGTTTTTGTAGTTATACTGGGTTATAAGTTAATTTTATTTCATTTTATTTTTTATTTTATTTTATTTTATTTTTTATAATTTTATTTTTTTTTTTTTATTTTTTATTTTTTTTTAAAATTATTTTAAGGGTTAGGGTTTTTAATTTTAGTTTAATGTATGTTTTGTATTTTGTATGCTACTGGATAATTGAATTTCCCTCGGGATAAATACAGTATCTATCTATCTATCTATCTATCTATCTATCTATCTATCTATCTATCTATCTATCTATCTATCTATTTATTATTATTATTATTATTATCATTAATTTTTTTATTGGAATAATATCAATGTTGTAAATTATTTTGGCCCTATCTTATTTTATCCCCTTTGGAATTATTATAATGTATTTTGATTTTATTTTTCTGATTTTGTTTTATTCCCAGTATATTTCTTTATTTTCAGGAATGTTTTTCATGTTCTTTCCTGTTTTAATTATTATTTACTTATTTTTATTTTACTATTTATTTAACATACCATCATTTAATTTTGTTCATTGTCCATTATTTTATTAAAAATATAATATATATGTATGTGTGTGTGAGTGTGTGTGTGTCTCCCTGATATATTATTATTTGTTCATTCATTTATTTATTACTTTCTAAGAAAATCCGCCATAAAAGCTATAACAAAACAAAAAGAGAAAGAAAGACGATTAATCAGTGACTGACTTCCTTAGACAAACATCTCAGACTCAAAATAGTTCATTTTCAGTTAAAAATAACTTGTTGGGGTTGAGTTAAGAATTCATAAACATTTTCTTAATGAAATAAAAACGATAAAAGTTCATCATTCAAAGTAAAAAACATTTTCCTCCTCTTTAATCTCCTGACTTGTTGAGCGTAAAATATAATTACGATAAAATCTTATTTTTCCAGAATGTAAAAAGCAATATTAGAAAACATCTGAACAGATCAATAACACTAAATGTTGTTAAGTTTTATAAAAGCTTGTTGTTATTTTCTGCTCCTCTCTGGTTGTTAGTCACAAACAGTCAATGTGCAGTTACACTCCCATCCAGCAGGAGGCGACCTCGGCTCTCCGACAGCCGGCATTAAATCACCAGAAGAAGAAGGATAGCGCGCTGTGATTGGTTGCTGGATGGTATATAAACAACATGGCGCGGAGTGAGACGTTGTGTGGTGAGGTCGGAGTAAAGGTGAGGTAACGTCGCTGATAACAAACTGTTGGGGTTTTCCCGCTTCATGCAATCTGTGTATTAACTTTATATTTAAATATATATATATTTGTTTGTTCTTCCGGAAGTGACGATGATCGATCGATACAGGGGAGTCGAGCTGTGTGGCGGGAATGTTTGTGAAGATGGCGGAGGCGTTACCATGCGCTCTGTGTGAGTGTCGGTGTTGTGGTGAGTTTCTGCACAGCTGCAGAATATTTGGACCCAATTCAATCGATTCATTGTCTCAAAGTTAAATACTCATTAAGACCTTACAGATGTTGTTGTTCGTTATATAAATCATTTCTTCCTTCTATGTAACTTATGGACTAAAGTGTCTTTATATGGACTGGTACTGTCTCTGTGTCTTTATATGGACTGGTACTGTCTCTGTGTCTTTATATGGACTGGGACTGTCTCTGTGTCTTTATATGGACTGGGACTGTCTCTGTGTCTTTATATGGACTGGGACTGTCTCAGTGTCTTTATATGGACTGGGACTGTCTCAGTGTCTTTATATGGACTGGGACTGTCTCGGTGTCTTTATATGGACTGGGACTGTCTCGGTGTCTTTATATGGACTGGGACTGTCTCTGTGTCTTTATATGGACTGGTACTGTCTCTGTGTCTTTATATGGACTGGTACTGTCTCTGTGTCTTTATATGGACTGGGACTGTCTCTGTGTCTTTATATGGACTGGTACTGTCTCTGTGTCTTTATATGGACTGGGACTGTCTCGGTGTCTTTATATGGACTGGGACTGTCTCGGTGTCTTTATATGGACTGGGACTGTCTCGGTGTCTTTATATGGACTGGGACTGTCTCGGTGTCTTTATATGGACTGGGACTGTCTCGGTGTCTTTATATGGACTGGGACTGTCTCGGTGTCTTTATATGGACTGGGACTGTCTCGGTGTCTTTATATGGACTGTCTCGGTGTCTTTATATGGACTGGGACTGTCTCTGTGTCTTTATATGGACTGGTACTGTCTCTGTGTCTTTATATGGACTGTCTCAGTGTCTTTATATGGACTGTCTCAGTGTCTTTATATGGACTGGGACTGTCTCAGTGTCTTTATATGGACTGTCTCTGTGTCTTTATATGGACTGTCTCTGTGTCTTTATATGGACTGGGACTGTCTCGGTGTCTTTATATGGACTGTCTCGGTGTCTTTATATGGACTGGGACTGTCTCAGTGTCTTTGAATGTAGAATCTAACAATGAAACTGTCGCTAAGATTGTTTAAAGTCTTGTTTATAAAGGCAGATAATTCCTGACAAAGAGGTTTTTATTCTTGTTGAGTCTACAAAGAGACGAGCTTAAAGATTTCTCCTTACACGTATTGTAAGTTTTAAAAGATGACTTATGTTAAGTATTAAACAAACTTCAATGTATTTGTTGCGTTTTGTATGGAGGTATATTTAAGGATTTTATAACAAGATTGCAGAATGAATGCGTTATATTTCATACTGGATTCAACAGCTTCAGTGTCTTTGAGTCATCTTATTTTCACAATCTCTTCACCTGCCAGAAGGTCTCAGGTGTGTTTACAGCCAGGAAGCAGCAGCAGGATGACTCGGACTCACTGATTCAGTCTCTTGTTAAACAACTGTTAAACTATCAAACAGAAATAAGACGAGCTCAGTGGTTGAATCCTCATTTTGTAATATTCCTATCTGACTTTCAGTGCATCCCAGAGTCCTGCTGTCCTGAAGTGGATCGGTCTGAACCAGGACCTGTGTGATGTGACTCTGCCCCCCCCGGACTCATTGCACTGACCAAAGGTAAGCTGAAACCTCAGTCTGGATCCAGATCAGCTGTTTTGTGGACCAGGTCCCTGTATGAACCCATGTACGCTGCCTGGAAGTGATGAAACGAAAGGCCGACTGAAGCCCCTCCCGAGCAGTCTGTTCACAGAGGGGGGGCCGTGACAAAACCGGACTGAAGCGTATCCTGATCCAGGCAGCGTATACGGGTTAATACAGGGACCAGGACTTAGGATTGGCTCTGACAGGAGGTGCTCTGATTGGCTCTGACAGGAGGTGCGCTGATGTGCTCTGATTGGCTCTGACAGGAGGTGCTCTGATTGGCTCTGACAGGAGGTGCTCTGGTTGGCTCTGACAGGAGGTGCTCTGGTTGGCTCTGACAGGAGGTGCTCTGGTTGGCTCTGACAGGAGGTGCTCTGATTGGCTCTGACAGGAGGTGCTCTGATTGGCTCTGACAGGAGGTGCTCTGATGAAGCTGTGATGTCATCAGTAAGGTGAGTGATCTGAACATCCAATCACACATCAGCACTAACAGTGTTCTTCAGACTCCTGGCCAATCACAGGTCATGATGTCCAAGTGGGTGGGGTTAACAGCTGGGAGATGATGTAAACAAAAGGCCGAATTGTAGCCCCCCCGCCAGGCAGTGTGTTCTCAGAGCGGGGTGCCATGACAAAGATCGACCGAAGCGTTTATCTGATCCCACAACAGCTGACTGAAGGTCACATGATCAATATCAACCAATCACAAAGTGGTTCAGTAAACTGGCTCCACCTGTCCAGTTGTGATGCCCCTAGTGGTGGTTCCGACCCCCCCCGGTTGGGAACCAGTGGACTAGCTCACTAGAGTAGTCTGGACTTGGTTCCACAGGTACTGATGAATGCAGATAATGTGACTAACATCCAGTGAAGTCATTAATATATAATAGCACAACCTGACTGAAGATTATCACATGAAGATGGCGGAGGCGTTACCATGCGGTCTGTGTGTATCGATGTTGTGGTGATTCTCACGTTAGAAGCGGCTTTTTTTTTTGTGTGTGTTTTTAACTTCCAGTCAGTTTCTGCACATCAGCAGAATATTTGGACCCAATTCGATTGTCTCAAAGTTAAATACGCTCATTAAGATCTTACAGATGTTGTTCGTTATATAAATCATTTGTTCCTTTTGCAAAATGGAAATGTTGTAATTTCTTCTATGTAACTTATGGACTAAAGTGTCTTTATATGGACTGGGACTGTCTCAGTGTCTTTGAATGTAGAATCTAACAATGAAACTGTCGCTAAGATTGTTTAGTCTTGTTTATAAAGGCAGATAATTCCTGACAAAGAGGTTTTTATTCTTGAGTCTACAAAGAGACGAGCTTAAAGATTTCTCCTTACACGTATTGTAAGTTTTAAAAGATGACTTATGTTAAGTATTAAACAAACTTCAATGTATTTGTTGCGTTTTGTATGGAGGTATATTTAAGGATTTTATAACAAGATTGCAGAATGAAGTGCGTTATATTTCATACTGGATTCAACAGCTTCAGTGTCTTTGAGTCATCTTATTTCCACAATCTCTTCACCTGCCAGGAAGCAGCAGCAGGATGACTCGGACTCACTGATTCAGTCTCTTGTTAAACTGAGAAACTATCAAACAGAAATAAGACGAGCTCAGTGGTTGAATCCTCATTTTGTAATATTCCTATCTGACTTTCAGTGCATCCCAGAGTCCTGCTGTCCTGAAGTGGATCGGTCTGAACCAGGACTTGTGTGATGTGACTCTGCCCCCCCCCGACTCATTGCACTGACCAAAGGTAAGCTGAAACCTCAGTCTGATCCAGATCAGCTGTTTTGTGGACCAGGTCCCTGTATGAACCCATGTACGCTGCCTGGAAGTGATGAAACGAAAGGCCCCTCCCGAGCAGTCTGTTCACAGAGGGGGGGCCGTGACAAAACCGGACTGAAGCGTATCCTGATCCAGGCAGCGTATACGGGTCAATACAGGGACCAGGATTTAGGATTGGCTCTGACAGGATGTGCTCTGATTGGCTCTGACAGGAGGCGCTCTGATGAAGCTGTGATGTCATCAGTAAGGTGAGTGATCTGAACATCCAATCACACATCAGCACTCTGACATCAGTGTTCTTCAGACTCCTGGCCAATCACAGGTCATGATGTCCAAGTGGGTGGGGTTAACAGCTGGGAGATGATGTAAACAAAAGGCCGAATTGTAGCGCCCCCGCCAGGCAGTGTGTTCTCAGAGCGGGGTGCCATGACAAAGATCGACCGAAGCGTTTATCTGATCCCACAACAGCTGACTGAAGGTCACATGATCAATATCAACCAATCATAAAGTACTGGTAATAAAGCACACAGGTACTGATGAATGCAGATAATGTGACTAACATCCAGTGAAGTCATTTAATATAACACAACCTGACTGAAGATTATCACTGACTATCTGGACCTTGTTGCCTCTGACTGTTTTTAATCTGCAGCTCTGACGCCAGGAAGTGAGGAACTGCAGTGCACTGTGGGTGATCTGGATGCTGGTGACGGCAGCGACAATGTTTCTAATCAGACAGACATTCTGACCTTCAAACGATGAATCTTTAATTGTATTAATCAATAACTGAACTGAAGCACGTCTCATCCTGTGAACCGTCTGATACAGACTGAAGACCTGCAGCTCATCACATTTGTATTTTTCACACTGACGTCTGTTTATGTGTAAACCTACAGTATTTAATACAGTTCGTAGTGGGCAGTGAAAGTAATGTCTAATTTACTTTTTTTCAGAAGTGTAAAAATAAAATGAGTTGAACTGTTTTGAATTTTCAGCCTCTGTTTCAGTTCAGACTGTGAAACATCTTTTTATAACGTATTTATTAAAGAACTGAACTTCCTCTGGGTGTCTTATTTCTACTGCAGTGTTTACTGTCTCTAACTCTGTCATCAGTTGGAAAAGATCTACAGACGTCTGCTCAGTTTTAATGTTTGGACTACTGTTACAGTCGGTCCTCTTTAAACTCACTCTCTGCAGTTAATCCAAAACTCAGTACTCAGATTGACAAAGTAAAGCAGATCCTGTTCAGAATCCTTTTTAATTCCCTATTACTGGAACTGTAAAGTCACCAAATGATAAACCACCACTGATAAAACATTTATTCACTGGATGTGAGTCTGGTGGAGCAGAGAGGTCACAACACGGGACTGTATAGCAGTAACATTTAATGTGAGGCTGTGGTCTATGGTGTGTTTGAGGAGGAAGCAGGTTTGATTGTTTTACTCTAGATGGAGTATTTGTCAATGATATCAAGTATTTTTAGAGTACTACAGAATGGATATACAGATACCATCATAGTTACTAGGGTTGGATTTGTCCCCACTGCAATACCACAGTGAACAATGCAACAGATACACATACAGTAGGTACGTGTTCAGCAGAGCCCCGGGATGCTGATGGTCAGTGTTTGAGTGGAAGTTTCAGGGTTGTCTCTTGTTGACCCAGACGCAGCTGATGATCCTCTGTTGGGATTGATGGATCCATGTTGAGCTATATTTAGCAGTTGAGAGCAGGAAAAAATGAACAAAGCGGACTGTGTTCACATCACGCACAGGTGTGGTGATAAAACAGCAGCACAAATTATTAAAGGTCCAATGTGTAGGATTTAGTGGCATCTAGTGGTGGAGTTGCAGATTGCAACTCATTGGCTTTACTACTCTACTCCTTCATACCTACTACGGTGGCCATGAAGTACACAAAACCCTTATTTAATCTACAGCCACTGTTTGGTGTGTCCATTCTGGGCTACTGTAGAAACAAGGCAGTTCACCATGGCGGACTCCTTAGGCAACACGTGGCCGCTGTCGATACAAACAGTTGATTCAAAGGTAATGAAGACCTTTAACATGAGTTAACAAGTTAATTATAATAATGATGTAAATATGAATCATAATATTGATGATAGTTTATATATTAACTGTTTTATATTATCATATTTATTGATCGTCATGTATCCTCAGAGGGAACTGAAATGATGTTCAAACTACAGAGTTGTTGTGGAAGCTGGATGTTTGTTTCAATCAGCCACTGCAATACATTGAAAATGTTCCAGCTAACAAAGTGAGATAGAGCTGGGCTTATGTTTGATTTCAATGTATTTAAATATATTCTGTACATGTTGTGAAATATTGTGCCTCCAGTTCAACGTGTCTGTTTGAACAGAGTTTATTGGCTTTCTCTGCCAGGACAGGTGACATGTGATAGGACAATCAGTATTTATTAAAGGCAGATTATCACATTAAAACTTAAAATAGCATTTTGCAATCATTAGCATATGTAATGTAGGTGCACAGGTAAAAATAAAGCTTACCCTCTGTGGTGGAAGTTTGACCGAATAAAGGAAAAACCAAACAAAGAGAAATTTGTCTTTGTATATTTATTCAAGCTTCTGCGCAGAAGGATCGACATCAACAAGTAACAGTCAGTGTCTCCCGATGAGTCGATGAAGAATGCATTAATACCAGGGTTTTTATATGTATAAGAACAAAGAGTTGTGATGTTTCATAAAGAGATAGATGTCAGGGACAAATAAGGGAGGCATTCCCAAGTGAGGGCCCACTCCCTTCTCAGACCAAAAGAAAAAGGAAAAAGTTTAGATGTTCAAGCCAGGCTATAAATGTGTCTGTCCTTGTATGCAGGTGGTTATTATGTAGTTTATCAGACATGTGTAGGTTGGGCTATCTTTAAGCCTGTCATGTATTACATGAAGCAAATGTGATTTGTCCTTGTATTAAGACAGCAAGTTAATTTGCAGTGCAGCGGAAACAGCCTTCTACAGAGTGGTGTAACACAAAGAATCACAGTTAACACAAAGGTTGTATACTGAATGATAATAATATATATTTTTTCCTCTACACCCTCTCCTCAGATCTTCTGCTCCATGCTGCTGCTGACTGCCTGTGCTGCTGACTCCTACCTGCTGCTGCTACTGAAAACTCAACATGAAAACTTTTGGAGTTGAAGGTAAATGTATCCACTTCCCCCACATCCTCCACAGCCTCGCTCTCCACTGGACTACTTCAGTGTTGTACTTGTCTCTGTCTCCATCCAGGTGAGTCCCCTCTGGTTTGACTGCATCTGAAGAAAATCACATCAAGTTCTGTTGAGTTATTTCTCAGAAATGGAACTAGGAAGTTGTTTTGAGTTTGTTTCCATTCAGCAGACTCCAACCTGACGGACCTTCACACCAGGTGTTCCTGCTCCTCTGTGTCTTCTGTCTGTGCTGCAGTGATGCTGTTCGAGGCGGAGACGTTGATATGATCAGAAACAGACCGCAGCTGATGGGAGACACAACAAGATGAGAGTCAAAGTCCTAAGAAATGGAATTTGGATACAAACTCATTTGATATTAAAATGTGCTCTTTGGTACAAAGGACATCTGCAGTAAATGTGGCTGGAAAATGTAAATACACATTGGTGGTTTCTGATGAGGAAGATGCTACTAATCAAGTTATATGTAATGAGTGCCTCTGAATCTACAATCCAACAGATGACAACCCTTTGGTAGAGTAAGTTCTGTCACTGTGGCCCAATATCTCTCTCACCTCCATAGTCTCTGTGGGTTCATTTGGTTCAGTGCTGGAGCTCAGAGTTTTCTTCTTCCTGAATTCAATCCAAAAGCAAAAATACAAAGTTTAATAGAAAACTTCTAAACTGTGACAATAAACATTCAATCAGTGATGTTTTCAGTGATTTAACTGATTCATTTTGGTTTCACCTCATCCACAGACAAAGCAGAAGAAGAGGAATCGGCATCACAACCACCAGAGTCAACCTGATGATATTTATCATCACTGTTGAGTTCCCTAGAAATGGAGACAGACAGTTATTAGATATACTGTACTGGACCTCACTAGTAGGGTTTGATTCATGAATCACTTTACCAGGTGATAGTGTCTGTTAATCAGTCAGTTATTGTCATGGAGAAAATCACCTGCTACAACAATCAGATGTAAGATGGAGTTATGACGTCCTCTTGCATTCTGGGCTTCACAGTAATAATTCCCACTGTGTTCAGGTCTGAAGTCAGTGATGATGAAGATCTGTCCTGATGCTTTTGGTGAATCTTCATTCTCCTTGTACCAGGTATAATTAGCTGCTGGGTTAGCATCACTGCTACAGGTCAGAGTCACTGTACTGTTGTCCACTATCTCACCAGAGGGACTCACTGACACAGAGGGAACCCTCGGAGCATCTGGAGGATGAAATGTACACAGAGACAACTCATCAACATCAGTGAATGTGTGTATGGTCATTTTTCAACATTGGAAAAGTAGGTGGTTGCTTAGAGAGCGGAGGGTGAAGTATTTTAAAATGAATTCCTCTGATGCCGGTTTGAATCTGAATCCCAAAACTGCATAAAACTCCTAAAATCTCCTGGAGCTGCTCAGTGAATTACAGCAGACTGTGAATGTGAAGCAAGTAGAGCTGAAGAAAGTACACATGATCAGTAAAACCTCCTCCTGCAAACACTGGACAGATTTAAGTTGTTATTTTTAAATAAAGTGTTTCACTCACATTTCACATTAATAGAGATGTATTGAGATGTTCTCCTCCCCAGCTCATTCTCAGCTGTACAGTAATACTCTCCAGAGTCAGAGGACTGGATGGACCTGAAGACAAGCTGTGGTTCTTTACTGAGAGGATGAAGGTCTGGATCTCCATTCTTCTTGTACCAGGTATAATTAGCTGCTGGGTTAGCATCACTGCTACAGGTCAGAGTCACTGAACTGTTGTCCACTATCTCACCAGAGGGACTCACTGACACAGAGGAAGGCCTCGGAGCATCTGGAGAAGATATGAATATGAGTTACTTAAACATTAGAAAATTGTTACCACAGAAGTATGCCTATTTTAATTAGTCTCACAGAATTTTGTTTTTAAAATAAAAAGTGTTTTCCTGACACAGTGAAGTAAACTCACACACTGAGGGAGAGCCGTAATTCTCATGTCCTTTCAAAGCACAAGAGATGATGTCTCTGGGATAAAACCGGTCTTTATAAGAAGATGTCTCCACCGATGTGATTTTCGTTTCATTCTTGAACCAGACGTAGGAAAGACGACCAACTGGACTGCAGCTGCTGTGACACTTCAGCTCTGCCTCAGTATAAGACTGATAGACTTTTATTCTGGTCACCTGAACCTGCAGAGCTGGATATGAGAACAAGAATCAATATTATTATCACTGGCTCTAAAAGAAATGGCTGATAGATGTACATACACATCAACACAACAGTTACTATTCCTACAAGTATCAGCGAGCATTAGTAACTACACAACAGTAATTACACAAACTCATGATGATGATCATTATCAACATGTTCAGTGTTGTTAAATATACTATGTTGGTGTATTTCCATCAGTTTGTGTTCATCAGTACCTGTGACAGTCAGAGTTGTACCAGGTAAAATACTGTTCCATTCAAAGCTTCCTGCTGTGAATTTGAAGCGATACTGGGCTGAATTGCTCTCTCTCAGGTCAGTGATTCTCAGAATGGAGCGTCCTCTCTCTGTTTCAAGGACCTGAACACGACCTGCATACTGGGAGTCTTCACTGAGGTCCTCAGACTGTGAGGGACTCTGCCACTGATGACTACGTTCAGAACTGAACCAGAATTTAGAGCTGATAGTTTCATGACTGTTGTAGGTGGAAGAAATGTCCACTGATGAGCCTTTGGAGGCACAGATGCTTCTGTCAGTGTAAGTCACTCTGTTGCAGGATTGATCAAAGACACCTGAAAGATATTTAAACCAGAGTTGGTGAAAATGTCCATATTAAAAATACATGTAGTTATAAGTCTCCAGCAGATGGCGCTGTGTTAGTGGAAGACTGTGTAGTAAACTCACACACTGAAGGAGAGGGGGAATCCTCATGTCCTTTAACAGCACAGGAATAACTGTCTGCAGAATCAAAGTAGCCTGAATAAGATGAAGATGTTTCTGTTGGAATTTTCTGTCCATTTTTGTACCAGACGTAGGAAGGATGATCAGGTAGACGACAACTGCTTTGACACTTCAGCTTTGCCCAGTAAGACAACCAACTCGTTCCGCTGACCAGCACCTGGAGACCTGGATCAGTGAAGAAGGAACAGGAATGTTATTTTAGACAAAACTGTCAACATACACACAGACAAATACACACAACACATTTATATTATTGTTCTGTAGATGTTGAACATTTGGAATAATTAACAGATGAATGAAAATGTTACCTGTGACCAACAAAGTGACTCCAGGTAAACCAGTATAACTTCCACCTGGTTGGTTTGTTATGAACCTGAACTTATACTCAGCTGAGTCGCTCTCTCTCAGGTCTGTGATTCTCAGAGTGCAGATGTTGTTGTCACAGTGATACTGAACACGACCTGAATACTCTGAGTCTGTTCTCAGATCCACAGTCACATCTCCATTCATTTTAGTAAACCAGAATGTGTTCTCAACTGTAGTATCACTGTCCTTTATTCTGGATGGATATCTGTATCTGCAGCGTATGTCCACTGTTGATCCTTTTAAGACACAGATCTCAGTAGAGCTGTAAGTCACTCCCCAGTCATTCTGACCCTGTATCACTGTAACACAGAGCACATCAGAAACTACAATCACACTCTAAACAACATCAGGAGACAGATTTTCTTTTGTAGTGAAGCTGCTCTCGTGACTTCAACTTTAGTCAGTGTGAGACAAAGATAATCTTATAGCACCAACTTGTTTTCAATGGGAAGCATGGTCATTGCGTTTGGTTCTAATGTTTCCTCTTCCTTTTAAGGCTGCAGGTACTTGAGGGGTGGACCGAATCAGCGTAGCCAGAAGCACCTGGCCCGGTGTTTCCCGGCTATAAAAAGCCCCGCGTCTCTTGCTGAGATTCTCTCTCTTGCTTTCATCTCTTGTGCTTGGTTTTGTTGTGTTCTGGCATCTAACATTTACCTTTCACTACACATCACACCCATGCATACACACACTTCCACCACTGACTTTACTGATAAACACACCTCAATGTATCTTTAGTTTATCTTTAGTTTTCTGGTTGCGTTTTTTCTGTTCTGTTAAAATAAATTGCTTATAATTTGCCGTTAATCTGCGTCTCCTTGTTTTTGTCACGGCTCCAGAGCCAGGTCATGACAATGTACTTTAAAAAAAGTTTAAAAAAGTTTAAAAAAAGACTGTTTTACTGCAGTCTTTGTTATCTTAACCAGAACTAACCCTAACCAGACTTAATCTGTATCAACCATTTTCTGTTTCAAAAATGGGTATACACTGTTAATCAAGTTTTAATGTTATTTCTGCTCAATACCAAAGCAAACAGAGGTATGGAGAAATCTACAATCTGTCATTCAGTTTTATTTAAGAATTTATAACGTAGGTCAAAGATACACAGATGATCTCTGCAGTTAATCTGTAAGAGCGCTGAGGCAGGACGCCATACAGAGGGTGTAGAGAAGAAACAGCAATGTATTGAAACTGTGTGCTTTAACACGGTATACTTACTGAACAGGATAAAAAAGGTGAAGATTAAATATCAGAAAGATGTGATCAGTGGTTGATAAAGGTGGTCATGGCCCCTAGGCTACTCTTTGTGTGGGCCCCTCATGGCCAGCTTGCAATCTGCAGCAATAATTTTGCCGTCTTGGAGACTTTAAAGGGCGTCAACAATATCTGCTGAAGTCACACAGAAGAGCAATTTCTCCCCACAGAGCATCACAAGTGTCCTTTTAACTTTATTGTTGCAGAAAAAGCGATGAGCACATAATTCATGAGGTCATCATAGAGATCAGCTCTGTCTGTGAAGAGGAGGGGAGCAGAATCGCTTGTTGACCGGTGCATCTGTCATGCTCACAGGTGAATTGACATATCAGCACCTTTGACTCCTGTTTGTTCTGTTGCACACATTTGGGGTATACTGGCATTCACACATTCACAAAACGTTGAGACAGAGTACAGAAACAAGTGGTTGACAGCACATCTGCAAGCAGTTAACAGCTTTTAGCTCTCTAAAGCAACAGGTACAATATCTGCAGCAGTACAGGCCAATCCGGGGCCCTTGTACATGAGGGCACCCTTGGCTGCAGTCTAGGCCAGCCTTCGTATTAATCCACGCCACAGTGTGACATATAAAACAAGAGTCTGCTGTGCTTGTTTGCTTAACTGTCTGTGGTCAGGCTGCTGCAGAGGGTGAATGGAAACTGTAGAGTAATGCAGAACTCTGAGGTGTTGGAAACTATTTACGCTTGTTGACTAGTTTTTCCAACATTGATATGTAGATAACACTTTTTCACAAATTCTCAACTGACGTTTTCAATAAAGTCCTTTAATGCATTGAATCTACCTGCCTGCACCCTTTACCTGCCCCCTCCTGTTACCTGAGGATCCTCTACTTTCTACTTTCACTTTACCATTATAATCATTGAACTCTTCCTGCCTACCTGGTTGTCTGCATTTGTGTCCTTTTTCCTTGTTTGTCAAAGCTACAATAGAGACACTTAAAGCAGCACAGCATGGACATATTGTCTGGTCATGGACATTAGCAGACTGGTGAATGTCTGCTGTTTCAGGGATCACAACACATCGCAGCAAACATCAAATCTTTTTCTTTACCAAAACCACACCTCTTCATTTCTGACGTGTGCTAACTGCTAACTTCATATCAGTGTAGATGTACAGTACCTTGTACAGAGAGAAGGAAGACAACAAATCCACTCGCTGCTGCTGTTAAACTCATAGCTGCTCCTCACGTCTCTGTCGATCACATACTGGGGGTTGAATACTGTATGTCAGTTAATCACAATATATATTTGTACATTAAAAAAAGAGGATGTGATATCTGAAGACAGTTTGTCTCTCTGTGGTTTGTACAGTAAGACATCAAGGTGTGAAACGTTGCCCTGGCTTTCTTCCTCTTTAACTTCATTAACATGCATGAAAAGAGCCTGTAAATCACCAAGTTTAAATTAAGAAATGATTCTTACTATTGTTATACAAAGAACACATGAACTTCTTTTTTTATTAAATATATATATTCTGTCTTTTTATATCTTTGATGGATAGAGAGAGCTGAAGACAGACAGGAAGTGGAGGCAGAGAGAAGGGGGTTGACACGCTGCAAAGGGCCACAGTTGGGGGTCGAGCCCACAGTCTCTGCAGCAGGGGCTCAGCAGCTTCAGCTCTACGTTGTGAGCTACTGGACCGCCCCTACATTAACATCTGAAATGTTGTTTAAGGAAATGTTTAGACTGACCAATCAGCTTGGCTGACATGCACTGAAACAGGAACTGATCAGTGAACTGAACACTCAGTGTGACACTGGTCCAAAGGAGAGGCAGGTGCAGAGTAACTGATGGTGTCATTTGAGTGGTTTAACATTTACATTTCATACCAGCAAACAGAGAGATTGAGAATATAATGTTAATGAGACAATAAACTGATATTATAGCAACCCTGGCTGAATGATTGTCCAACCATTTGACTGATGATTCTCAAAAGGTTTGTTGTTGTATAAAATACAGCACAAAGTTAAAAAAGACTTTAAAACAGCACCGGTACAAAGCCATAATTCACTTCAGGAACTACAAAAACATGATCAAACATGGCTGACTTAAACATAAACTGTATTAAAACGTGTGTTCACATTTAGTTTTTAAAGTATCTGAGGGCTTTTCAGTGAGTACTTACAGACTCATGTGCAAATGTTTTATTGCTAAATATCATCATGAAATGAGGGTATTCACTGATATCGTATTTTTGAATATTCTATATTTTTGTGTTCTTTTAATATCTTGTCCCATCAAGGCAAACTGGTGAGTCAGCTTTATTTTATCAAGCAGCTGCTTGTTGTTTTAGGGTGTGTATTGTGCAAATACAGTGCAAAGGTTTATTACATTAACAAACAGACTGATTTACATTTTATTTGTGTTCATTACTGATAAATACAAACTTTATTCTGGATAATAAACACAAAAAGAGTTTGTTCAAAGCTGAAATCTCAAACTTTGTGCACACTGTCGCCCTCTGCAGCAGTGAGAGGGAACTGAAATGATGTTCAAACTACAAAGTTGTTGTGGAAGCTGGATGTTTATTTCAATCAGCCACTGCAATACATTGAAAATGTTCCAGCTAACAAAGTGAGATAGAGCTGGGCTTATGTTTGATTTCAATGTATTTAAATATATTCTATACATGTTGTGAAATATTGTGCTTCCAGTTCAACGTGTCTGTTTGAACAGAGTTTATTGGCTTTCTCTGCCAGGACAGGTGACATGTGATAGGACAATCAGTATTTATTAAAGGCAGATTATCACATTAAAACTTAAAATAGCATTTTGCAATCATTAGCATATGTAATGTAGGTGCACAGGTAAAAATAAAGCTTGCCCTCTCCTCAGATCTTCTGCTCCATGCTGCTGCTGACTGCCTGTGCTGCTGACTCCTACCTGCTGCTGCTACTGAAAACTCAACATGAAAACTTTTGGAGTTGAAGGTAAATGTATCCACTTCCCCCACATCCTCCACAGCCTCGCTCTCCACTGGACTACTTCAGTGTTGTACTTGTCTCTGTCTCCATCCAGGTGAGTCCCCTCTGGTTTGACTGCATCTGAAGAAAATCACATCAAGTTCTGTTGAGTTATTTCTCAGAAATGGAACTAGGAAGTTGTTTTGAGTTTGTTTCCATTCAGCAGACTCCAACCTGACGGACCTTCACACCAGGTGTTCCTGCTCCTCTGTGTCTTCTGTCTGTGCTGCAGTGACGCTGTTCGAGGCGGAGACGTTGATATGATCAGAAACAGACTGCAGCTGTTGGGAGACACAACAAGATGAGAGTCAAAGTCCTCAGAAATGGAATTTGGATACAAACTCATTTGATATTAAAATGTGCTCTTTGGTACAAAGGACATTGCAGTAAATGTGGCTGGAAAATGTAAATACACATTGGTGGTTTCTGATAAGGAAGATGCTACTAATCAAGTTATATGTAATGAGTGCCTCTGAATCTATAATCCAACAGATGACAACCCTTTGGTAGAGTAAGTTCTGTCACTGAGGCCCAATATCTCTCTCACCTCCATAGTCTCTGTGGGTTCATTTGGTTCAGTGCTGGAGCTCAGAGTTTTCTTCTTCCTGAATTCAATCCAAAAGCAAAAATACAAAGTTTAATAGAAAACTTCTAAAATGTGACAATAAACATTCAATCAGTGATGTTTTCAGTGATTTAACTGATTCATTTTAGTTTCACCTCATCCACAGGCAAAGCAGAAGAAGAGGAATCGGCATCACAACCACCAGAGTCAACCTGATGATATTTATCATCACTGTTGAGTTCCCTAGAAATGGAGACAGACAGTTATTAGATATACTGTACTGGACCTCACTAGTAGGGTTTGATTCATGAATCACTTTACCAGGTGATACTGTCTGTTAATCAGTCAGTTATTGTCATGGAGAAACTCACCTGCTACAACAATCAGATGTAAGGTGGAGTTATGACGTCCTCTTGCATTCTGGGCTTCACAGTAATAATTCCCACTGTGTTCAGGTCTGAAATCAATGATGATGAAGATCTGTCCTGATATTTTTGGTGAGTCTTCATCCTCCTTGTACCAGGTATAATTAGCTGCTGGGTTAGCATCACTGCTACAGGTCAGAGTCACTGTACTGTTCTCCACTATCTCACCAGAGGGACTCACTGACACAGAGGGAACCCTCGGAGCATCTGGAGGATGAAATGTACACAGAGACAACTCATCAACATCAGTGAATGTGTGTATGGTCATTTTTCAACATTGGAAAAGTAGGTGGTTGCTTAGAGAGCGGAGGGTGAAGTATTTTATAATGAATTCCTCTGATGCCGGTTTGAATCTGGATCCCAAAACTGCATAAAACTCCTAAAATCTCCTGGAGCTGCTCAGTGAATTACAGCAGACTGTGAATGTGAAGCAAGTAGAGCTGAAGAAAGTACACATGAAGTGTTTCACTCACATTTCACATTAATAGAGATGTATTGAGATGTTCTCCTCCCCAGCTCGTTCTCAGCTGTACAGTAATACTCTCCAGAGTCAGAGGACTGGATGGACCTGAAGACAAGCTGTGGTTCTTTACTGAGAGGATGAAGGTCTGGATCTCCATTCTTCTTGTTCCAGGTATAATTAGCTGCTGGGTTAGCATCACTGCTACAGGTCAGAGTCACTGAACTGCCCTCCACTATCTCACCAGAGGGACTCACTGACACAGAGGAAGGCCTCGGAGCATCTGGAGAAGATATGAATATGAGTTACTTAAACATTAGAAAATTGTTACCACAGAAGTATGCCTATTTTAATTAGTCTCACAGAATTTTGTTTTTAAAATAAAAAGTGTTTTCCTGACACAGTGAAGTAAACTCACACACTGAGGGAGAGCCGTAATTCTCATGTCCTTTCAAAGCACAAGAGATGATGTCTCTGGGATAAAACCGGTCTTTATAAGAAGATGTCTCCACCGATGTGATTTTCGTTCCATTCTTGAACCAGACGAAGGAAAGACGACCATCTGGACTGCAGCTGCTGTGACACTTCAGCTCTGCCTCAGTATAAGACTGATAGACTTTTATTCTGGTCACCTGAACCTGCAGAGCTGGATATGAGAACAAGAATCAATATTATTATCACTGGTTCTAAAAGAAATGGCTGATAGATGTACATACACATCAACACAACAGTTACTATTCCTACAAGTATCAGCGAGCATTAGTAACTACACAACAGTAATTACACAAACTCATGATGATGAGCATTATCAACATGTTCAGTGTTGTTAAATATACTATGTTGGTGTATTTCCATCAGTTTGTGTTCATCAGTACCTGTGACAGTCAGAGCTGTACCAGGTAAAATACTGTTCCATTCAAAGCTTCCTGCTGTGAATTTGAAGTGATACTGGGCTGAATCGCTCTCTCTCAGGTCAGTGATTCTCAGAGTGGAGCGTCCTCTCTCTGTTTCAAGGACCTGAACACGACCTGCATACTGGAAGTCTTCACTGAGGTCCTCAGACTGTGAGGGACTCTGCCACTGATGACTACGTTCAGAACTGAACCAGAATTTAGATCTGATAGTTTCATGACTGTTGTAGGTGGAAGAAATGTCCACTGATGAGCCTTTGGAGGCACAGATGCTTCTGTCAGTGTAAGTCACTCTGTTGCAGGTTTGACCAAAGACACCTGAAAGATATTTAAACCAGAGTTGGTGAAAATGTCCATATTAAAAATACATGTAATTATAAGTCTCCAGCAGATGGCGCTGTGTTAGGGGAAGACTGTGTAGTAAACTCACACACTGAAGGAGAGGGGGAATCCTCATGTCCTTTAACAGCACAGGAATAACTGTCTGCAGAATCAAAGTAGCCTGAATAAGATGAAGATGTTTCTGTTGGAATTTTCTGTCCATTTTTGTACCAGACGTAGGAAGGATGATCAGGTAGACGACAACCTCTTTGACACTTCAGCTTTGCCCAGTCAGACAACCAACTCGTTCCGCTGACCAGCACCTGGAGACCTGGATCTGTGAAGAAGGAACAGGAATGTGATTTTTTAGACAAAACTGTCAACATACACACAGATAAATACACACAACACATTTATATTATTGTTCTCTAGATGTTGAACATTTGGAATAATTAACAGATGAATGAAAATGTTACCTGTGACCAACAAAGTGACTCCAGGTAAACCAGTATATCTTCCACCTGGTTGGTTTGTTATGAACCTGAACTTGTACTC